AAATAATGTTCAGGACCATGATGCAAAATTCTCATAACTACACATCTTTAAAGCGTTTGTGTAAAGTATCATTAAAATGTACTGAATTGAATCCATTTTATGAGTACTTTTAGACTGTAAACAATGGTTGCTATGGGTGTTGCTATGTTGAAATATAGCTAGAAGTGTTCAGATTTCTTAATTTAAACGTAAATTCAGGKGTAATTAGAGGAAAATCGTTTCAAAATACGATTTACAAATGGACAGGGATGTTGAATCTTCATGTTCCAAAAAAATGGTTTTCTGGAGAAAAATTCATATCTGAGAGTGTAAGACCCCCTTAAGTGGCCCTCGTGGGGAGGCTCCGCGCGAAAGGGATACCTTTATCGAGGGTAGGGATTTCACAAGTTGAGGTATATGAAAGGGTTGGGAAGTCGAAGTATCTTGACTCCCACGACAACATGAACTGAACAAATAATACTTGTTTTTTTGGTTAACATGCTAATGCTTAATGTTCTTCCGTAATATTGTTCATTAATTCGAAGGGTTTAGAAAAGGACGCAGAGTTCTCCCTTTGTGACGGGGGCACCTTTCTCTGTCAAAAACTATCGATGACCTATTTATCGCGTGTTGTCTCCTGGGCAAGGAATTTAAAACAGCATAATTGTGCTCTGAAATAAATTCGCCATTTTTCTGTATTCTTTCCCCCAGTGACACTCGACGATTCAGTGAGGCAACATTTCGTGTACCATGGCGCGCTAGATGATTTTTTAACACAACAACTACTTCGATGCAGTATTATGTTGCAGGTATTTGAAGTGCTTTCACAAACATGCAACGTTGTTGGACCAGTTTTTAAGCGGATGCTGCAAGTTTCCCAAAGAAACTAAGACTTGAGTGTCCACTAGCTGGTCTCTGTGGCAACTTTCTCGTAGATGAAAAGTTTTTACGTTTGCTGCAAAAGTTTCTACTCCAGCTAGAAGCTGAAAAATTCATGGTTTCAATTTTCTTTGTTTAGCAGTTCCTCTTGTATCATAAGAGGTAAAAATAAATGAGAAAATATCCTCTATTTCAGCTTATTTTAGACACTGTGGTCGAAGTATTGTCCCAACTGCACAGTCAATTAAAAGAGGTCCTCTCAAGTCCCATCCCGCGGGATCCCGCGCGTGATGGAGATCCTTTCGGCGTTTCGGCCCAGTCCTTCCTGTTCTTCTCAAACCATGGAGGGGATCTGGCACGAGCCACATCAGCTATCCAATATGGCGGCCTCCTCCCTTTGTTCGATCATTTAATCATCCGAAAGTTCGAATCAAAACAAAGCTCAAATGGCCAAAAATAATCCTGATCCTAGCGGGCATAAAATCTTGGCGTATTTTAGTGTTCAACATTAATTATTTTGGACATGGCAAGAGCTTTGGACGAGCGATCTAAGAAATTCATCGATGCGGTTCAATCTGACCTGAGAGCTTTGTCCAACGAAACGAGACGAAAATTCCAACCAGTTAAAGAGGTAAGAAATATATTTGACACTTTCAAAAAACGGATTGAAAGCTCTTCATATTCAAACAAAGAATTGAGAATTTTCAAGTCGCGTGTGCCCGCCAAAAAATTATAAGTTTAAGCTATAATTGATCTTGACTATTTTAAAACTTGTGTTTGTAAATGTGATATTGGCCTCTGTTCTTGACAGACTTTTCCCAAATGTCCGTGTAAATGTGGTTTTTTTTTAACTGTTACAGGCGGCAGAAGCTGGGATTCTACGCCTCAGAACGATTAGTGCTGCCAAGGCAAAAAGCTTGAAGATCACAAAAGGTAATAACTAATAATAAGTCATTTTGATATCAGCTGTAACCCCTTTAACACGCCATGCATAATAAACACACAATGACTGTCCCCGCGGGGAATATGGAGTGTTATTTCCCAGTGAAATGATAATAATCTCAATGTTTTCCTTTTGGGAACACTGAAGGGCTTGGGGAAACAAAACTTATTTTCCCATGGGACAATTATCACATTCATCAAGTATTGTTTTATACCCCAATTGAAAAATATACATTAAAACTGCATCGTCTATTTTATTGTTCACAACTAAACCTTCTTTTAGTTGAAAGAGGGGAACAAATTACGAATAAAACTGACGTTTTCTCACAACTTCGTGTCACCACACATTTGTTTGTTGTTTTACTGCCGTTTTCAACACACTTGTTGTGATTACTAACCAAGTTTTAAGCTTTTGTTGCATTAGGGAGTTTTGTTAGCCTTTAGGAATTTTGAGGTGTGATTATTTGAACAGTAATCAGTCAGTATACTTCTTTGTGTTATGCTTCATTGTGTTCAGTAAATTAAAACTGGGAAAGTAATACGAATTCAAAGTAACAAGTGATTTGAAAGTAATACAAGTGTGTATGAAGTATGTGACTGACCTCAAGGAGTAGTGATTGAACTTCCACATTGCTTTCTACGTGGTTTAAGCACTCTTCCTAAAACTCATGAATGATGTGAATTCGATTTAAAATAGAAAGCTTTGTAGCATAATCTTGGATACGATTTTAGAACCACATAGATTTGAAAAGTTCAAGAGTCAAATCTCTAATGAACGTGGTAAACAAATAACAGGGTTCGGCAAATGCTTCATTCGAGTGTACAAAGTTTTGCTTGGCTATTGTTTCTGCATGCTTGCATGTTTGCATTACAATAGGCTATCTAAGTCTCATGAGAATTTAAAGCAGTGGAACTTGTAGTTTTTTAAGCTCTCATGAGACGAGACTGGAGAGGGTGGTAACTTACTTTTGAGCAGTGCTGTAGATAGCAAACTGATTAACCTTCTGCATGCTTGAAATCCTAATAATTATATTATGCTTATTAAACTGTTTGTTTCTTAGAGACATCCTCATAAGCTTCTACTGTTGTAAATGTAAAACATGTCCAGGGCTATCATTAAGTTTTGAGTCACCTGTAGCAAATTTGTTACTTTATGGGTGAATTCTATGAACAACAGGCAATTTTACCTGTAGTATCAAGGGAAAATCAAGCATACTCAGCCATAACAGGTGTTCCAGGTTACGGCCCTTAATGACAGCCCCACATGTCATTTAAGTTGCTTATTTGTTTACCTGTACCAGTGATTGCAGATGAAACTGAGATAGTGCAACCATTCTTGCTTGGCTGCGATACCAAGAGTCTGCGTGTGGTGCAGATCTCACTGACGGGTCTTCAGCGGCTCATAAACAATGAGGCTTTATCTGAGGTTTGTATTTACCAATTGGTTATCAGATGGTCAGTTGCTTGTTGAAGTGTTCAAGAAGGAATATTTAAACTAACTTTATTCAATGTTTCGACACACTGAATTTTCATTCTTGATAATGATCCCTGATGCATTGAAATGTTGAATGATGTTACTGACAGTACTTCAATTATTTTTTGTTGTTGGTTAAATCCATTCTCACGTATACCTACATGACTTATAATCTATCTGTGAATCCAGTTGGTTCTTTATCTTCATATACTACAGTCAAACCCCTATTAAGCAGCCATCTATTAAATGGCAACCCCTATTAAGCAGCCAGTAATCAAAATCCCGATGAGGGCTTTTCTACTGTTTTTAGCTCTATTAAGCAGCCAGCCCCCTTTAAGGGACCACTACCCATTTCTCCGAGGGTGGTTGTTTAATAGGGGTTGAACTATATATTGTTGAATTCCAGGAAAATTACATTGCTTCCCTGCCCAACCTAAGGAAGGTAATAGAACATTCTGAGAGGAATTGAGGGTGGGATTCAAAAGCCTAGAATATTTTTAAACAAAATTAGAAAGCTAAACTACAATAGAATTTCCATGGATGGGTACAGGGGAGTGACCAAAATCAAAAACCGTCTGTGGGAGGGGTGTGGGTGTTTTCTGTTGACATAATTATTGCCCTTGGAAGGAACATCCTTGACTTTTCGCATCTTCTTCTTGAGGTTTTGGTTCTGGATTTCTTTTCAGTGGTTCTAAAATATCATGGAATTTGTATGGTTTTAAGTGCTACTGTGTATTAAGTGGTTGCGTCTATCAAGTTTTTACATTAAGTAACAATTGCTTGCCCTTGTTTTCAACTGGGGTAGTACATTGTTAACTTGGTTGTGCTTACATGCTAGTTATGCAATGCTTTTGGGTGATATATCATGGAATATCGCATGAGTCACTTCATGACTATTTTCTCAGACTACACACACAACCTTTAGGCAAGAAAATACAAGTGACAAGTAGGATATTCCCTGGTATACCATGAGAGAGCATTCCATAACTGTTTTATACCATGACATAGAAAATGCAGTGGCCAATGTCCACAATCAATGTGACATACGAGGAGCATGTGATGGAAAGGTTGGATGTAATACATAAACAATGGCCTCCACTTGGCGTGAGAATGTGCTCGGATATTTGTCCGTGGACATTATCTGCTCCAAGAAGCGACCAGTTTTCTGAGAGCGAAGCTCGAAGAAAACTGTGAGCTTCAAGGAACAGATAATGTCCAAGGACAAATATCCGAGCATATTCTCGCCCCAAATGGAGGCTACTGTGTTTATTATTCTCAAGTATTTTTCACAACGAGTGCAGTTTTGAAAATTAGGGAATATTCTCAGATATTCCCAGTTTTAGCTGGGGAATATTCAGTCACGTGACGCGTTTAGACCAATCGCACGCGAGTGAAAATATTTGATGGATTATAATGTTGAATATACAATGTTCCTGTATTCTGTATTCTGTATTCTGTATTTTCTATGGCATGGTATAAATGTACAGTATGTACACACCTTTAGATAAATTATGGGTAGGTCACTCACTCCCACACAGACCAGCATTCATATACGCTGTATAACTCTATCTCTATAAATGTCGACACCTCTGTTTTACGTACACACTCAGCTCTGGGCCTGTGGTGTCCATAGTCAAGATAAGGATACTTACTAAATACAATTTACATTCTGACTACAATGATTGATCTCTTTTTACAGTCGTCTGCCGTAAATCTTGTCAGTGCGTTATGGCAGTTGATGGAGGGAGGCTTGGAAGAGCTACGAATCCTTCAGACAATTATTCTTCTCATAACAACGTCAAATATTGTTCATGGGGAGTGCCTCGGAAAGGTCTGTCACCTTTTTTTTTTCCTGTAAAGAGATTCAGAATCTTACTGGCATGGTATTTATTAATAACGTATTACTGGTATATACATGTACAGTTAAAGGGAGTGTTCATTATTTATGGTTTCAAGGGGGGGTCAGTGTTTTTTAGAGCTCCCCTCTGAATTTTTGTTTGACACCCTTTCAAGACAAAAACAAACTTAATGGCCCCGCTGAAATGATCAATGAACTATACTTTTATAATCCCCCTCCCCTCGCCCTAGCACCACAGTGACCTTCTTTTACACACAGCTAACTAGACAAATAAATAAATAACTGTGTTTATTGTACCTCTCCCAATAACCATGATTATTAATTCCATCCCCACCCAAGGAAACCACGGATCCCTATTAAGAATTAATTATCAAGTTACTGGAAAAGGAAATAAGTTATGCATTAATAGACTAAATAAACAGTTCTATGGGGGTTTCCTGTTTAAAACTAGGAAAACTTAAATTGCGAACCTCCCTTATTGTACAGTTGAAGTTCTTGTTGGTACCATGGGTGTAAGTGACCACATGAAATCCTGTTTACATTCTTGGTAAAATTTTTTGTTAGTAAAATACTTGCATTCCAAAACGTTTTAGCATCATGTTCACGAAAGTTCTTGGAGGCAACCTTCTTCTACCATTTCAGTGGGTTGTTGCCAAGAAGAAGATCATTCTCCTTGTTGTAAGTGTCCAGCTCCAACACTGACCACTTAGTCTCTGACAAGAGAGAGGTAGTCATTAACAAGAGCTTTTAATGTAAGTAGTTATTCTGTTGCTCTCCTAAGGCCATGGTCTTGTGCTTCAAGTTATATTTCATAAAAGATGCAACAATTTGTACGACTGCTGCAGCAACTGTCAGACAGATGGTGTCAGTGATATTTGAGAGAGTTGTCACAGAGGACAGTCAAGGATTAGGTAAAGAAATTTCACTTATTTTTACAGTCAACACCTGATGAAGTTTCATGTATTGATTGTTAGCAGGCTTTTAGCCAGAATTTGAAAAGTGGCTGTGCAAAATGTGCTATAGGGTCTGCTCAAATGAGTACTTTATAAGGCAGCATGCATGTATGAAAAATAAACCAATTTTTTTTAGAATGTGGCTGTCCACAGGACACCTGGACACCCATCTCACTAAAAGTCTGATTGTTCTAAGCAATCCCTTGATATCTTTTTGACAACTTTTTGTTGGCTTCTCTTTAACCTGGCCAATCAAGGCACAAGAATTTTTAGTGCAGTTGTCAAGTTCTTGATATGTTTGCTGTCTGACAATTTTCAGTCAAACGAACTCATATAATAATCGGTTACAACTGATGTGATCAGTCACATGACTTGCGCTATGATCACGACCTTGCTGCATAATGTTGTCATAGACTGAGGTGATTTGAAATGAGTCTATAAAAAAATAAAATTATATTACCGGTACATGTATATTACATTACATTAACTGTACTAGCACATGATAGTCCAAAAGTGAACAGTGATGAGTGAAGTACGCTTCAGAGTTCTTTGCTGACTGAGTTATCGTCATTATGTTCAAAGTTCTTGGGTCCAATCTCAGGCCATTGTTGATTGGCAGAAGAATTATGAAACTGTACGTAATGAAAGAGATCTAATTAGTATCAATACTAAATTGTTAGGTCCTGATCAAATGCCGCATGATATTTGATGATAG